CCTTTTTTTTTCTTTCCCCGATCTTCCCCCCTTTTAAAACTTACACACATAAACACACAAAATAACAATAATCAAAGAAAAAATTGAATAAAAAATATAATTGAGAGATATACAAAAAAAAAAAAAAAAAGTGCTTTTTTTTTTTTTATTACAAAAAATTACCTATTAAATTTTCCCATTCGGTGCTAGACCTGAGAGATCTTCATCGTTTCTGGTTTTCGCTGTAACCATCATCATAAGCATCCCCTCTCTGAACCTATATAGGCTCAGCATTATGCTGAGTGTAATTTGTTTCCTTTTTTTCTTTTTTGAGCAGACTAGTTCCATAGCGCTGGTCATTCTGCCAGAGACCACAGCAGCTAAGTTTGCGCCTCAGTCGCTATTAAAAAAAAGAAATAACCTTTTTTTTTTTTGTTCTCCGGGGGGGGTGATTCTTTGGGTCCCCCTTTTTTTTTGTGTGGGGTCCATTGCCCCCCTTTTCCTTTTTTGGCCCGGGGGGGGTTTTTTTCTCCCCCCCCCTCCCCCCCCCTTTTTTTTTTTTTTGTAATAATATTTCGTAGAAAAATAAATAATATTAGTAAAAGTCAATAATAATAATAAAATTTTATTAATGACAGAAATATGGTTGGTAAAAAATTGATCAATTGAAACGCAATTTGCCCCCACACTGGGATTTTTTAGCCTCTGCAATGGTAGGTTTGGACTAACAATTATTTCGTGGTACATGGTGCATGTTAAATACGGCCTTCCTTTGAATTCACTCCCACCAAAAAGAAGATGGAAGGATTTTGTTTTAGAGTGAATTTAGTGAGAATTTAGTGTATATCGCATATTATTAAGTAAGACGGCTGGATCAGTTAATTATACTAGACAGAAACACGGTCCAATTTATATTAAAAAAAAAAAAAAAGTGTTTAAATTTCAATTGTTGAACAAGTCTGTTTTGTCTAGGCGTGTATTGAAAAAAAGAAACATACATAAATTAAGATATATGTAATTTAATATGTTATTGTTTACTTTTAAGATAATAAAATTGCTGAAATGAAATTTTTAAATTTTCTGTCTTAGCTTGGGCTTAGCTTAATCTCACCGTTAAAATGTCTATAAAACGAAATCATAGTTTAACCTGTGGAGCAAGGTCCTAAGGTAAGTCTGAGCAAAGACCCACTCCCCCCCTTTCATCCCCCCCCCCCCTTTTTTTTCCCCACGTACAAACGCGCTTCTGTTTGCTTTATCTAGCTCCAGTTACGGTTAAGATACTGAATTTAATTTGGAGTAACTATAATCAAATCAAAAGTCATTTAGACATAGACATATCATTTATAACAAACAAAAACTCCACACATAAACACACAAAATAACAATAATCAAAGAAAAAAATAGAATAAAAAATATAATGGGATATAAAAAAAAAAATCCCTTTCCCCCTTCGCTTTTTTTCCATTTTTTTTTTGGGGTGTGGTGTGCCCCGCCCCCCCCCCCCCCCGGGGGGGTAGCAGTCTGTTCTACAGCGTTGGTCATTCTGCCGGAGACCACAGCAGCTAGTTTGCGCCTCAGTCGCAAAAAACGAAATGTAATAATATTTCGTAGAAAAAAAAAATAATATTAGTAAAAGTCAATAATAATAAAAAAACGTTATTAATGACAGAAATATGGTTGGTAAAAAATTGATCTTACGCTTGCCCCCACACTGGGGAGCCTCTGTGGGAACTAACAATTATTTCGTGGTACATGGTGCATGTTAAATAAATTTTTTTTAGAGAATTTAGTGTATAATATTATTAAGTGATGGCTGATCAGTTAATTATACTACAGAAACGGTCCAATTATATTAGGTATATATGAAATTGGCGTTTTGTATGGGAGGAACATCAAAGGTAATTTTTTTATGTTGCAAGAAGTTATTAAATTTCGAAAATAATAGAATTGGAGCAAGGTCCGGGGGAGTACGGTGGATGTCTTAGACATTCCAATTGAAGCTCCTCTGATTTGGTAGCAGTCTGTTGTGCAGACAAAGTCAAAGTCAAATCGTTTATTTCAATTAGACCATCTAAAATGGCACGCAAAAAAAAAAATAAAATGACTAGTTGCCCTTCCAAAAGGTTTTCGTGTGGAGAGAATGGGCAAAGAAACTCCACACTTACTCTTTTAAAATAGGTTTAGCAATATTTTTGTTACATTTGTTATAATTATATGTGAAGACAATGTACTCTTAGAATAAACTACTATACTAAAAAAGTTAGTATACATGTTCCTCACATATTTACAAATATCGAAACCTTAGAATATTAACATTAAAGAGCAGTGTGTGGTCTAGCGCTGTCGTGAAGGAAAGGTAGCCAGACCGGTTGACCAGCCTTAAAATCTGGGTCCATGCGACCTCTAAATTTCACCAACATCATCTTGATGGTTGGAGGTCTTCCACAGTCCGTTTCACAAGGCATTTTCTTTTGCGAATTAGCGAACTGTGGAATCGACTCCCGGTGGGTGTCTTCCCTCAGAGATACGACCTCCAAATGTATAAAAAGCGAGGTGTCTATGGGCTGCGAAGACTGCCCTTTTTGGTCGTCCCGCAATCTCGATTGCCCCTATTATATAAAAAATTTTTTTTTAAGAACTAGCCATAATGACCGATTATTTTTTTTTATGTACAGTACAACATTGTCAGAAGGCTTGTGGAAGAGTTTCCGGTCTTAAGATTCGGCCTTATAAAGGACACAGTCACTTACACTAACCAAAACGGTTTAATGTTTATATTCTGGAACAGGTACTTGACCATTAATAGAATTATGTATTTATCTCAACTTTTCTATGATTTATTCTAGCAGTGACCGCCATCAAAACCGCCCGCCTCATAATAGACAGCTGTCAAAATGTCACGCTGCCCGATAAAATTAGCAGGTATTAAATGCCTGTCAACAGAAACAAAAAAGACAGCGGTATACTTGGGGTATTGGCCCAATTAAAACTATTATGTACTCGATTGGCTTTTTGTACCCAACATACAAGATTCATTGTGAATAAACATCCATTGGAGCACGATCGGGGTTCGAACTCGTTACCTCAGAGTTCATTCGCACGCTAATCGGCTAATAGTACTCATAGTAAATTTTACAAACCAAAATATAGCTTTTAAAGGTTAAACTGTGATACACGATAGTTGACTTTAGGGTCAGTGTTAAAATGGTATTATAAGATTGATTTTATATTATCGCTAAATATTTATCTGTCTTTATAAGTATAGTTTAGCATTGCTGTGTCGTGAGATGATCCCCAATGCCCCATAACAGATATATTTAGTTGCATACTGGCTGAAGTCACAAGAATTGCATTATTTATTTTTTAGTTAGAAGAAGGTTTAGGTATTAAGTTTTTACTTGTTTTGTTTATTGTGTTTTTAGTTTAATTTTTATATTAATAGTTTTCAATTGTATTTGTATTAAGTTACTGTAAGCATAGGAAATAAGGAAATATATAGAAAATGAAAAATTTAATTCTACAAAACCGAGTTGTAACAATAAACCATCATGAATATTCCATATACTAAAATTATCTAACTTTTACTCGGCTAAACAAAACCAGTTCTTATGATAACGTACGTACTGTACCTGAATATATAAGTATACAGTATGTTCTACTAAATTTATAAGGGCGTTGTTTCATTGATAATTTTCTTTGGCATTTTCTCACGATGTTTATCTTCCCCGGATTAGCAAAAGTGCACGTATACATTTTAATTAGTGCACAGCCAGCGTTCGAACGCAGGGGTTGAGAAAGAAATATATTCAATAGGCCAGTAATTTATAAATAGATCATGTCCATTAATGTTTCTACAGAAATGTGTCCTTTGTTAAAATACTTTTTGTATCTAAGACATTTTTTTTTCTCTCTTCGTGTTTGTCTATAATAGCTTGTCACATTAAATCTTGTATTTTATTTTTTAATGAACAATGTATCAGTGTGCCGAGCGTTGGCAAGGTTTGAAAATAAATAAATGAACTTTAAACCTTCACCAATTCTAATTATTAACTACGTCTTGTACACATGATCGAGAACAATATTTAAAATGTGGAAAAATATAGTTATCAATTAAAATGTAATTATATATATATAATAATAAAATAACAATAAAGGTGAGTTCCAAAATTGGATTAAAATTATTTTTAATCACGAATGAAATTACTTTTTGAACCGACCTTTAAATATACATATTTTCGTTAGTATTTAAATTTGATTTGATGCAATTATATCAAGTTCCATTGTGTACTAACGCTGAAGATGAAAATTATATGAGCAATGTTATCTCGTACAAACAGATACACTTCAATGCACTTTGGAATGCAGTGTTTAATGTTATGCAACTCAACTGAACATTCGGCAATGGGTAGTGGATTCCGAGGAAGCATTTAGGATCCATCATCTCGGACTAGATATACATAGTCTTACGTCTGCTAAGCTTAACGTGACAGCTATATACAGCTTTGTTTTGAGCTCTTACGTTGAAACAAAAGAACAATTCGTCAAAGTAGGTATCACCAAGGAGTTTACATAACATTGTTTTGTAAAAGGCGGGAATTCTACACTCTATGGTATATTCTAATTCATGAAATGATATGTCATTTGTTATGACAAACATGTTGTTTTATGATGAAACTCCTGTATTGTTGAATTAGATTTATTCTTGCCTTAATTTTTAAGCAAATCTTAAAAGTAATATATGTGAACTTTGAAGACAAATAATTAATAATTTATTAATTACCTTTTTTTTTTTTTTTTTTGATAACCGAGGTGGAAATGCATTTGCGCATCCCCTGAACAGGGGTATGTGGGACTCGACCCACGCCAAAATCTCTGCTGTTCAGAGACTGGGTGAGCAATACCCACTAAAACCACCTCGAGTAGTTCCGACAAAGCCGCGTTACAGAGGCTCCGGGGTCGCTGTCGCATTCTACCGGGACGTCAACGGCATGTTACACTCAAAAACCTCCGGTATATATACACTACATAGGAGGTAGGAGATGGGCATATCTTCTCCTATTTACTCCCCGTCTTCTACCCCTAGGATTCGTCCTAAAGCGCTCCCTCTCTCGTTCTGCTGTCTCCTTCTGTAGCATGACATGCTCACAGAAGGATACCACTGCATTCCATACCTCGACACTGCCGACCATTTTTTGTACAACACAAGGCAAAGCAAGGTTATTACCCATCACAAAACTAAGATTGTGACGTATCTGAAACCACTGCGGACAATCCTCCAACGTATGCTGTGCAGTATCATCATTTGCGCCACACTCCAAGCAGCTCGGTGTTGGTTCCCGCCGCACGATGTCATGCAAGTATCGCCCAAAACATCCATGTCCTGTCAACACCTGCACAAGACGAAAGGTAAGGGCACCACTTTTTCTATTTGCCCAGTCATTAAGTACTGGACGAATAGCCTCCACCGTTCTATGCCCCGCTGCTGGGTTAGCTAAGTCTTGGTACCATTTTTGCATTGTAGCTGATCGCGCCAAACGTCTTAAATTCTCGACTTCCTCAACACCAGGGTAAATACCTTCAGCCCTCGACTCCATCCGGTGATTGTATACTAAAGTGAGAGCCTCAGCCTCTAACTCCCAAGGTGGAGTGCCAGCCAATATACAGCAAGCGGTAAAAGACACCGTTCGGTAACAACGGACTATTCTTCTTGCCACAACCCTTTGCGGCCTCCGTAGAAGGATTTTATTGGTTAAAGTGAGCGAGTCTTGCCACACTGGGGCTCCGTAAAGTGCCATGCTTCGAATGACCCCACAGTAAAGCCTCCGACACCGTTCGTCAGGTCCACCTATATTTGGAAGCAGACGACTCAGTGCCCCTGCTGCACCAACTAGTCTCGAACCAAGAGCTTTAAAATGATCCTCAAACTTCCACCTACCATCAAGAATGAGCCCTAAATACTTCATATTACGACCAACCGACACTCTAACTTCATTAACAATAATTGATGCCCTAGAAGGCGGGCCACCTCTTGGCCCGTGAAACAAGAGCGCACTAGTCTTTTCAAGAGCAACCTTAAGTCCTAGTAGGCCAATCCTATCAACTACTAAAGAGGTCCCAACTTCTACTAGACGTACCACTTCTTGGAAGTCTCTACCTTGCGCTACAATAAGGGTATCATCTGCATAGCAAAACAGTTTTAACTTAGGTAGCAACGTACCCCTAAGCACCCAATCGTATCCAATGTTCCATAAAAGGGGGCCCAGTACCGAGCCCTGAGGAACCCCGCACTTCATTGGCCACCGAACCAGCTCGCCTGAGTCATTTACATACAGAATTTTACGATCTTCTAAATAGCTTCTGACAAGATTCTGGAGATATAAGGGCACACCGTGGAAACGGAGAGCCTCCATTATGACTGTAAACGGCAAGCTATTGAAAGCATTGGAAATATCCAAGGAAACTGCCAAGGCCTTTCCTCCACTACGGACAGCCTCCATGGTAAAATGTTTCAAGGCGCCAATCGCTTCTAATGTTGATCGCCCAACTCTAAATCCGTACTGAGCGTCGGCTAAATCTGGACCAACAACAGATATATGTTGACTTAAGCGCCAAACTATTATCCTTTCTAAAAGCTTACCCACCTCATTAAGTAAAACTATTGGGCGGTATGCTGATGAAGTGTCTTGCGGGCGACCAGGCTTGCGCAATAAACATAGACGCCCCTCCTTCCATAGTTGCGGAAATTGTCCAGTAAGAAAACAAAGATTAAATGATTCCCGCATTTCACCCTCTAGATATTCAACAGCAATTGCCAATATGCGGCCGTGTATACCGTCTGGACCTGGGGCTCTCCTACGCTTTTTTAGACGATCCACTACGTTTGCAAATTCCACATCACTAACCAAGGGAATCTCGTTTTCTATTTCTGGTCTTATATCAGATGTCATCCGTGGAGGAACAATGTTGGGGTCAGCGGGAAATAGTTCAGATACAATTCTGGCGACAAAGTCTGACCGGAGTGTCTCAGTTAGTGAAGGACCTCCTGCCTGCAATTTATTTCGTACAAGACGGTATGGGCGTCCCCATGGGTCCTGATTGAGACTTTCGAGAAACTCACTATGTGCCTTATCCTTAGCCTGACTAATAGCCAGTTGTAGAGCCTTCTTATGTTCTACAAATTGAGAGTGAAGTCGTTGTTCTTGAGCAGCATCACGCCGATGTCTTCGGCGATTGCGAAGATATGCTCTTCTAGCACTGTTGCACATTTCACGTAAATAAGCAATATTCTCGTTCCACCAATGAACCATTCTACGTGGTGGCTGGCGCCTCCATTTTGACATGGAAGCGTTTGATATTGCTTTTGCCGCATGTCGAAGACGACTAGCTGCTTCATTAACGTCTGTAGGCCAAATAGCGGGTGCACACCAGGCTTGTACAATAGCCGCCTCTTCTGCTAGATCCTTATTTAGACTGCTGAGAACCCAGCGTGGGAATGCCTGTCTATTAACACCCACTTCATACCGTCTCTGGGATTTAAAAATATTGAACCTAATATAGCGATGGTCCGACAGAGTCTCAATATCTTCCGCAACTTTCCAATTTTGCACCGAGGAGGCTAGACTTGGTGAAGAAAATGTTAGATCTACCAAGGATTGCCCTTGCGCCCGCACACAGGTTGGAACGTTCCCTCTATTAAGCAGAAAAAGTCCCAATTCTGTATACCATTCCTCTACAGCTTTACCTCTATCGTTAGTGAGGCTATCACCCCATATTTGAGATCGGGCATTAAAGTCGCCTAATACTATTACTGGCAATTGTGCTCGTTGAATTGGGAGACATAAGTGGTCCAGAAAAGTAAGAAACTCCGATAGTTCTCTGTTGGGAGAAAAATAAACAGCAACTATTATGAGGCCGTTCCACTCAGCCACAACATAACCTATACCACGATCCTTTAAAATAAGAGGATATCCACCAGGACGAGCAATTATACAGACGAGGCCACTTAAATCTTCTAACCAATGAGATGGTGAAGGTACAAAGTATGGCTCCGAGACAACAGTAATATCAGTATCCCATTCAGCCCTAGTCTGCAGGAGAAGGTCCTGTGCCCTAGCGCAGTGATTTATATTTGCCTGAAGAAAGTTAATATGTGCCCTACTACCCATTATTGAGACATAATATCAACCTCCCGAGGCAAAGCCTGATTTATAGTGCTGATCCCTCTAGCCAAATGCACCATCTTTGCCTTCACAATAGGAGGATTACATTTTCTTCCCCTCATTATGTGGTCCGCTGGCTTACCAGCATCGCCACAGACAGAACAGTGCGCTACAGCCGCTGTACATGTTGCAGATTGATGTCCATTCTTTCCACATCGGAAACATAAAGTGCTACGATCCACATCTGACGGACATTTCACACTAATATGGCCCAAACCTAGACATTTATAGCATCGTAGAGGGCCATCTTCTATCACCTGAATGTGAGCTGAACTCCAACCTACAAGCAAACGACCTTCAGTAACTTTTTTAGCTGCAGTGACTGGGCATTGTACAAAAACTATATTGTTTCCACCCTGGCCTCTTACAAGAGCGCTCGCCTTTATCACATCCACCTCACATTCACCCTTTGCAGCTATTGCTGCAATGACTTCTTGGACAGACACAGAGTCATCCAGTCCCCCAATTCGAAGAGCTGCTCGCTTCACCGGCGTTTCCACCCTAACCTCTTCTGCAAGAACGCTGCGAAGTTTCTCAGCAAGTTGGCTAGCCTTTTCTGCACTTTGAGTTCCGGGTATCTCAATAATTCGGGCTCCTGTTGCAGTCTCTCTTATTCTGACTTCAGTCACGCCTAAGTCAGCTAATACGACATTGTCCCTAGCCTTTTTTAATATACCCGCATACGTAACACCTCTATCTGCGGCCTCCTGCTGCAATTTAATGACAACTGCAGCAGATCGCGGTGCAGAAAGTTTAACTTTTTTTCGTGCTTCCGACACCGCACTTGGCACAGTTGCCATATCCGCAGGAGTAGACAATATCTTACTTTTGCGCTTAGGATGCGCAACAACTGACGTCCAGGCACCATCCTGCTCCTGGGAGCAACTTGGAGTAGGGCAAAGACCCTCAAGCATCTCATTTGGATTATTAGTGGCACCTGCAACAGGCAGCACATTAATGGAAGACCCTACAGGTCTCGCGTGCTCTCTTTCTTTTGAAGCCGCAAGGGGCGGACGAATAATATTTGCTGGTAATAAGCGGTCCTCCATTCCCGCCAATTTGGCATCGATCATTGCACCCACCGAGCGCATGACCTCACCTTGTATCTCATTTATTATCGTCTTCAAAAAATTTGGGTCTTGTGAGGGGTTAACTTCGGAAAAAGGAGCTGATCTTTCAGAGAACTCCCTTCGCAGTGCCTTTAAAGATCCTTCCAGATCAGCAACATGGTTTCGCAGACGTTTGTTATCCGCTTGCAGGCGGCGAGTCTCCTCTGCCACTGAACGAGACGTTAAACATTTAATTATCTCCTGCAAGTCTTCTGCCGCCTTTTGCAGATCGTCAGAATGAGGTTCAGTAAGACTCCCTGGATTTTTAGCAAACTCCAGAAGCTTAGCTGTTCTTATCTCCGCTCTCTGTCGTATATCTACTGCACCCAGAGATTCAATATCTTCATCAAGAAGAAATGACGGTTTAATCACAGACTTTTTTCCGGCTTCCTTGCGAAAAGTCTTACTCCGTAACTGCCTCTCAAAGGCAACTTCCGCCGCTTCTTCTTTCGCCTCCTTAAATGCTTTCCTGGCTTTTCCAATACCAACACAATGAGAACTCGGCTTTTTCTTCACAGTTTCCCTCCTTGAAACCGATTGTTCTGTCTCAGTATCAGAAGCAGATATACCGTCGACATCCAGAGGCTCCTTGAAGAAAGACCGTTTACGGGTCTTAGCCACCCCAGATATGCTCGATTCCGAGCTATAGTCATCCATTTTGATTAAAACTACAACACTAATTATCAAACCAAGATATCATTACAAAAAAAAAAAAAATTATAATAATAATAATATATACCTATATAGAAAACAACAACAGACACAAATACAACGACACAAAGATTAAGAACCACGAATACTTTGGACCTATTATCCGAAGACTGCGGAAATTAATCAACGCATGACCTTGAACAATTATACCAAAACCAATAAAAGAATGCGGAAATTAATCAACGCAAGACACAAACTCTCCTCTTCTTCTAGACACAAACGATTTTCTTCAAACCAATGACGATCACTACTCGTGAAAAGTAGGTACGTCAACGCATAGCAATAACAGCGTCTGCGCTTCACAAAAGACACGTCCGCCTCGGTCGAGAGCTCGACGCGCACCCTCAATTTATTAATTACCTGAAATAATTATAGAAAAACCATTGAGAGTGTTATTTCATCAAAGTTCTTAAAAACAATTATATTAATCTAATTCTTAATTATAATCCGAAAATATTGTAACAAAAATTCTTCTTGTGTTAAATGACAAAAACCAATGAAAAAAATTTCGGGTTTTTCCACAGGCTAACAAACACTCAATATTACAATTAAATAAAACGTCTATTTTGACATGATGAGCTTTGAAAGAATATATAGGTAACTGTACATAACAATACATCTTCTGTGTTGGTAGTGTTTATATTCGCAATAAACAAAGGTTGATTTTCGCTTACCTTACCTTATAGGTTACCTATATTTAGAAAAAGCACCATACGAAACTACTAAAAGAATAAATAAAGTTAGTATTCACAATTTAATATGGAAACAGAACACACATATTTTACTAAATAGCATATCAGCGGAAATAATTATCTATATAATGCAAAATCATTATGTTGCAGTGCCCTAATCCCGTGTGCGAGTAGGATGATCGTCAACTGTCAACGGGACTTAGCTGCTCTACAGTCTCTGGCTTTCTGACTCTGTTATTACTGGGTAATCTTACCGCTTAAATACCCGGTCTGATTTGGATAATCTATGGTTTAGGTATACAATTTGGCAGCGTAAAGTCAAAAACAATAAGATGCGTAGCACTTGGAAATGAGTTCCAAGGCGTTTAAAAAATATTTGCCAACATGGACAAAAAAAATTAGCTGAGTCTTTTGGCTTATATTACACAAAGTGTGACTCATTCTTGACTTTTTTTAGGAATGATTAGAACATCATGTATACGCAAAACAAGTCGCCATCTTTTTTTATTTATTTATTTTTCTTTTGTGACGATTACTTTGATGCTTTACCTAGTAATTTTAACATTATCATGTACGCTATTGTTCTTAGATTGGGTAAAAGGATAAAACTAAGCTTGATAATCTTTAGCATGGAAATTAATACAGACGAAAAATGCCTAACTCACAAAGGGACTCGGGAGACTATAAAATGTTTTTGTTTACTTTAATTTGATTATGACGCATTAAACCGCTATCGCTATTAGGGATTTCATCAAATCGGAGTAGAAATAGTTTTAACGTATCTTTAGAGGTCACATCACAAATATTATCATATCAAATTTAATATTATATTTTATTCGACATTATCGTACTGGCCTTGTTCTGTAAGGATAATATATGTACCTATTTTTAATAAATAAATAAATAATCATCAAGGCTACAGACAATCGGGCCTCAGGTCGAGGCTGTCCGGTTTTGTGCTTTTTCCTTCCACTTCGTGATAATCATTAAATAATATATATTAAGAACATAGACATAGATAAAATATGTCTTATTGTTCACACAAATGGTAAGAAGAGGTCCACAATACTTAGCCATCGCGTTACATCTTGAGGCACGCACTTAATTTGGTGACTTTAATTCTGATGTCTCGCAATTGGGGCAGTGTTCATCCAGCGTAGAAAACCAGCCTGATCAGTCCTAGCTGGCTCTCTTAATGTTACTCCATGCCATTCCAGCTTTCTTCGCCTCTGCAACGATGCTTCGTTGCCTCGTCTGTTTTGGGCAGCCACGTTTCCTTTTGTCTTGAGGATTCCAGTCGAGGGCTTGCTTGGCAATGTGACTTGGATCCGGAGTATGGCCCACCCAGTTTTACTTTCAGCGTTTTATAGACCTGTCAATTGGCACCCCGTTGCATAGTTCCCATAGCTGATGGTTAGAGATTCTCTCGGGATAAAATATTCCAAGTATTTGACAAAGGCAGAAGGCTGAAGGTTCACGAAGGCCTGGAGTTGTTGTGTGGTGATCTTTATTACTAATTTCGTAATAATAATCACACATTTGAAAACCTTAAAAAGTCCAAGAATGTTAAACAATTACGGTGAACACAGAATTTAAAAAATATGAAATATCCAATAGAGGATACAAAATATTCAGTTATAAGCACTGTCAGTTATATTCGTGGATCATGTCATCTTCACGCGTAAAAATAACAAGGTAACATCTCAGTTAAGGTTTATTTATACCACAATTTCACAAAACAAATTTTCAATACAATATTTTTTTTAAATTTAACACCTATGAAAGTATTATGAATTTAAAAAATGATTGATATGTATATTGTATAGGTAATAAACCAAATAAATCACAAAAAATACTTCTGGGTTTTCATAAATATATTCACGGTATAAAGATTTCGCTCTTCCATACAAATATTTGACTCAAATAATGTTTACGTTAATATTTCATTCCAGTACCACCGAAGTACTGCGTTACGTATGAAAATACGTAACTTATTAAATGTATGAACTATAAAATGCAGTTTTTTATTTTATGCATCGCACAAAGGTCAAAGGAGGTGGATATTGATACATTGAGCTATTCCTGCGAACAAAGGCTGTCGTGAAATTTCAATATGATAGTCGATTATAATAAGAAAAACATTTTGTACTAAAGTATAGTAGATTTAATACGTACGTAATCATTCCATTTTTAAATAATAAAGCAATTGTTCGAGCCGTTTATCTACATGTTACAGTTGCCCTTTTAAGTAATTCAAAATTAGAACAATTTTGAATTTCACAGAAACACTTGTAAGGAGATTTGTCGAAATCACTTTGAACAATATAAATATAAAGGAAATAAAATCAGTGGTGCTTATATATATAACAGTTTTAGGTCTGGGCCTCAGATTTCTGTATCTGTTTCATGATCATTTGTCAATCTAATAGGCAAGTAGGTGATCAGCCTCCTGTGCCTGACAAACGATGCTTTCCTTAACCGTTCGAGCGAATGTTTAATGTGCACATAGATAGAAAGTCCATTGGTAAACGACCTTAGGGATGAAAGTCGCATGCTATAGCCACTAGACCAACAGTGCTTTGAAGGTAATAGATATAATATACAGCAAAAATCATTCTATTTTTAAAAATAAAGAAAATGTTTGAGATTTTTATTATACAAGTTACCTTTTTAGTTATTCAAATTTAGAACAATTTTGAATTTAACAGAAACACTTGTAAGGAGATATGAAGTTTGTCGAAATCACTTTGAATAATAGAAATATAAAGGAAATGAATTCACTTATTATCAACAGTAGAATTTCAACACTTAGTTTACGAATGTCATGTATAAGCAAATTAGTTTATTTCCTCTAGGCGACAATTTACTTACGATCTCGTCACAAATTGTCGGCGATGGTAGACTATTAAGGAAATACAGCAATTCAAACGCCCTTTACCCTATATTATTGTACAATCTTACAATCTTAGAGTGTGAACGCACTGCTATATGTACCTGCGAGGGAAACGTAAGGCGATTAAAATCTATGTGTTGTACGAGAGTTATTATTTTATAAAAACTACCTGAGTTCAGTTCCATCTTGCGATTATTTATTTAAACAAGTTGGAAAATGGATATTTTTATTCCTATAATGCATATTTACGAAGCGCATCTTGCTAATTATTACGCTGAATAAATTAAACAAAAATATATTATATTATAACAATGTGTAAGATTAAGGAACCCTTTAAGTAAATAAAAACATCTGTCAGGGCTCCCAGCTCTTCTATAATAAACTTAATAGTTAGTTCCATAGAGCAGTAATTTTTAATAAAAAATCATTACGTAAATCGCAAGCGCAAACCTATTTAATTTAATGTTCATGTAGTCTGCCTGCATACTGTGTCTGGAGAAGCGAGTCCCCTCTGTCTAACTATGAGTATATATTTTAAAGGTATATAATAGGTATTATTTATAACTAACTATACTAAAAAGTAGGGGTTGGTCGTAGAGGGGTGAAAATTAGGGGTTGTTGTATTTTGTATGGTGTATCGTAAAAAAATAAAACAAAAAAAAATTGTCTAAAAAATAAAAATAAAATTTTGGGGTGGACACCCCTTCTCACTTAGGGGTTTGAAAAATATAAGCTTATTCTCAGACTTACTGAATATGCATAAAAAGTTTCATAAGAATCGGTCGAGTCGTTTCGGAGGAGTATGGGAACGAACACTGTGACACGAGAATTATATATATTAGATAAAACGTCATAATCGCTATATGCCATGAACATAGAAGAAAACATACAGTTTACGACGAAGTTTGACGTTTTGAAGTATTTAAGCACAAATATATTCTGCTATCTCGCTCACACGAATATTTTTATTTTGCATTCCTCATGTGATTATTCAAGATTGATCTGAACGATTTGTCTACAGTGCGGTCATAGCATCAGCGTATAATCGTACAGTGAAATTATAAGTTACACCTTATTTCGTGTCAGAAAGCACTAACCAACACCCGAGGAAATTCCAAAGACATGAAGAGTTTAAGGGGTTCACGTAAAAATTATACAAGTTTATATGTAAGTGAATAAATTTAGATAAATCAATAGCCAACATACAGTGTCTTACCACTTGTGTCAAATTGTTAAATGTCTTTTTGACAAATGACAGTTTCCCGCTGACAACTTCTGTCAAACGAAACGTCAATTCAATCTATCCGCGTTTATATCTGTTTAAGACTATTTAACCTAATATTTTATTAATATTATATCCC